GGAGTTGAAGTCCACACATCTTCAAATTCCCAAGGTTGAGAAACACTGGAATAGAGAAATAAGGACTACAACATCCATCTCTCCCTGTCCTTAAGGAAAGGTGGACTGTATCTACCATTCAGATAGATTCTAAATATGCCTTCTTGCAACCCCACTGAGACCCAGGAGTTGGATAACTCCTAAAGCCAAATGTAATATAATCATTTAAAGTTCAAGAGTCCGTGAGTGTCATTCCTGGTAGAGGGTTTGAACCCCATAAAATAAGATCAGGCTGTGTACATCTGATGAGTCTCAACTGGGATGGAAACAGCGATGCCTCGTGGTTGTCTATGGACTCAAACCCGGGTTGTTTAGAAATTCAAATTCACATATTCCATCCAAACCCACCTGATTGCCTTGTCGCTTTGTGGGAAGCGGCCAATGGGATAAAGAAGCAACCTTATAGCGAAGGCTGCAATGATTTATGTAACTTATTTTGTTTGCCCTTCTCCCTTTCCACCGGTGAGAACCATTCCTGACGATAAATGTGTCAGTCTTGCCATATAGATCCTGCAGTGAGCGGAAAACGAGATAAATTGTTCTCCGGTGTTCCTTCCGGTGTTAGGATTCCTTGATGGATTAATCGTCTGTCTTTCAAGATGGCCAATCAACAGCCCTTCAGGTTCTTGAGTTTTAAATTTGAAACCACACACTCTGCAGCACAGGTTAAGAATATTTTAAAAAGACAAGCATGGGGAAATGAGGAGGAAGTTCACTTCGGCTGGGTTCACCCCACGTGCTAAACTCAACAGGGTGGAGAAGGTTGTACGAATGCAGCAAACCAACCATTTTATGGCTTAGCATGATGTCAGCCTACTAGGGAAACCTGGCCACAGTTCTCCAACACTGAACCACAGGCGACCTCAGTTGTCTGAACCCCCCTGCCTTTGAGAATGGGTTTTCTGAAGAGAGAAGAACAGCACTGTGTCATTTGGGGAGGGTGGACCCTCTGCTTCTTTTGAACCATCGCTGAGAATTTCCCTTCCCCTCTTCCTCTGCTTTTCCTCAGCTGACTTAAGCAAGATGATGCCTTCCACTGAAACGGACACCTAAAGCTCGCCTTAATGAATGCAGCTTTTGGAGCCATACCCATCCTCCTCAGGAACCCATCTATCTACGGTTTGTCCCGAATCACCAACAGCCTCTTCATCAGCAATGGAGAGGCCGCCAATAACAAGCTCTTCCTCTATGCTAACCGCATCACCACTGTTATTAACGTGTCGGTGGAGGTGGTCAACACCTACTTCCCAGACATCTACTACATCCACGTCCCTGTAATGGACTGCCCCACTGCCCGAATTTACGACTTCTTTGACCCCGTAGCTGATAAGATCCACGCTGTGGAACTGAACCAAGGCCGGACCCTGGTGCATTGCGCAGCGGGCGTCAGCCGGTCATCCGCCCTTTGCATCGCCTACCTGATGAAATACCACTCCCTGTCTCTGGCAAACGCCCACGCCTGGGTCAAGTCATGTCGGCCTGTCATCCGACCAAACCTCGGTTTCTGGGAACAGCTGATTGAATACGAGTATAAACTCTTTGGGAAGACCAGCGTCAGGATGGTTCAGTCTCCGCTGGGTTTGATCCCTGACCTCTACGAAAACGAGGTTAGAGTCATGATAGCGCTGTGACAATCACAGAATTGATGCACGCCAGCCAAGATGCTCCAGTCATGGAGCCACCTCCAGAGCAAAATAAATCTGTGTGCTGCCTTGACTAAGTTTGAAATTGTCACAGAAAGTGGGGCCTGGCAACCGCCTTTGCCAAAAAGGGGAATTTGACAAGGGGACATTCTGCGTTTTTCTTTTCCGTAAATAAAAGCAACGAGAATTGGAAGGAAAAAAAATGACACCATTAGATTTGCTCCTTATTTACCCTGGGCTCCGGAATAAATCCTGCAGCACCGTCTTGGCTGTTTGGGTAAATACAGCTTCTTTGCGGGTATGGTTTCAACAAAGCAGCCTGTGGTAGCCACAGTCCTTGGGGCAAGATCCTAATAAATCCCTTTCGTGAACTTTTTCTGTGTTTTCCCAGCAATATTAGGAAAACTGCAGGCAGAATTTCTAACCTCAGAATTTCTTCCCTGCTTAGAAGGAAATATAGCTGACTCCCCTGTTCAGCCCTGTGGCCACTTTAGTACAAAGGATTCTTGGATCACTGATTGACTTGGGCATGTAGCACTTCTACGTTATTAAATATTTCAACTTAAACATATTAGACTGCTTGTGTTTAATGGTTTGCTTTGACAAACAGCTCTCCCATTCTTCTTTAAGCTCCCGATCTTCCACGGTATTTTTG